GGCACAAACTGACTCTGAGAAGAAAAAGGAAAAGAAAGATTAGAAAATAATAATTGGATAATACAGTATCCCTCTGTGGGGCTTTCATCTTACCCACACAACAAATATGGGATCTATCATCACCTGAGATCATGATTTCACACTCACTTTGATGGATGTGTGCTTATGTGATGAAAGTGCAATGCTATCCTTTTATTTTAAAAAATGTGCCACAAAAAAGACAGCGATTTATAACCTTTATTTCCCCTTAAGTGTCTGCCTTTTATACAATACTGAGTGTCCATTTGATAGTACCGTTATTATTAGTCTAAACCTCTATGTTATGCATTAGAAAATAGTGAGCAGTAATGTCAAGTTTTTGTAGCAAATGGGCTAAAAACAAAGTGCTCCTTTTAATTTCTATCAGTTCCCTGATAACATACATACAATCTGAAGTTGTCTGGGGGTCTCATACATTTTTCAACTTTTCAAATAAAGCTTTTCAATAAAAAAAATGTCATCAGCACCTGTAATGGCGCGTTTCCACTGCAGCGGGTAGCCCCGTTTAAGCGTCCTTAACCGTCCTCAAGCGGCCAGGCCGGTTTTTGGTGGCGTTTCCATATAGCCTAGTACCGGCCAGCGGGTACTTTTTCCCTCTTTTTCCGGCCTCATAAAATCGTGGTTCCCTCAGGCCAGGGCCAGGGCTGAACTAGTGACGTCAACACTCTCGACTGCTGATTGGTCAGAGAGAATCGTCACAAGATCGCGCGCGAGTTCATCCCTAGCGTCGCATATATATTTAGAAGCAAGCTTGCAGCATTTTTATAAACAGCATTTTGTAAACGGAGGAGCTACAAAAATGGCTACGTCTAATAAGAAAAGCACACCGTGGTCGACCGAGGAGGTGACGACGTTCCTACATCTCATTGGGGATGATCAAATCCAGCGGGAGCTCGACGGAACAACTCGAAATGTGAACAAAAACAAAGCCGATCGCCCCGCCTACACTGCGTTGCTACCCCAGGTCCTAAACTGGAATGGAAATGCGCCACGGCCTGGGCCGGCCAGCGAGGCAGCCCGAGCGAGGCCTGAGCGAGGACGCTTAGGGACGCTTAAACGGGGCTACCCCGCTGCAGTGGAAACGTGCCATAAGTGTCTTGCAGAATGAACTACCCTTGAACTGGTTTCTGATTACATGAATCGTCTGTTTGGTTTCACTCCCGACTCACTGCCTGCCCTGCCTTTGCTTCAGGGCATTTAGGGCTACTGTCAGCAAAAGTGCATCACAAGGCAAATCATTGTCGCACCTTTCTGGAGAATATCTCTTTGGAAATAATGAGTCAGTCGCAGTGCAGTGACTGATCTGATCATTGTCTGCTAATTCTGACTCACCTAATGTCATATGTTGATGTCACTCTCACACACTCATCTGAAAGCCTTTTTCGGTGGGAGAGACACTCCCTCTGGCCTGAACTTTGGGATTTTAGCCTTTACAGACCGTTTACATGCACAAAAACCTATATAACACACTACAGGCAAAGGGAAAACTGCCTCTTTTAAATCCACCTCTCTCTCTCTTTCTCCCTGCAGTGATTCTCCAGGTCATCGCTCTGATCGTCTACCCATGCAAATTCAACGAGATGATCTTCGAGGGTCACTATTACTACACCTGGGCCTACGGATTCGGCTGGGGCGCCACCATCCTTTGCATCGGATGTGCCGTCCTCTTCTGCTGCCTGCCGCGCTACGAGGACGAGCTCACAGGCCTGAAGAAAGTGAAATACCTCTATACCTCCACTTAAAAACTCAACCTGCACACCCTCCCGATTACAGACATTTCCACTCAGAGCTAGGGAAATATTTTTACTCTGTACCATTTCACCAAAGCTCCACGATGGCTCAGTTCAGTTAGATTTGGTTCGGGAAAAACCCTCCTCGAACATCAGAGGCAATGGGTCATTCTTCCAGGAAGTGGACTGTGATTGGATGTTGCATCTCCTTTGAATGTATAGACCTCTATATTAGATTAAGACAGCATCATAAAAAGATATTTTTAACATTCTGCATTTTAATGTGAGATACATTCCTCATTTTATCTGTACTTTTTACCAGTAATTCTCAATGCAAGATCACCCAAGTGCACTTAACCTAAGGGATGTCATTATATGTAAAGAATAGCTTTAATCTGGTTTATTGTAGAACTCCTAAAACCTTGCTAGAAGAAAAATTCTGACTACATTTTGCACATGATGGAAAAAGGACATTTGGTTTTGTCTAATATGTTATAGTTTTCAGTTCTTTAATCTCTATTCTGTATGTGGTTGTGTGTACGGTGGATGCAAATGCTTGGAGTAAGAAGCTGAATATAATCTATGGAAATGTAGTTTTAACATTTGTTTTTGCACCTTTTTTTTTATTGGATTTATTTAGCTAATTCTTGTCTGCTATTTGTCCTCAAAGTTTTGTATTCTTACTTATTATCAAAAGGGTTTGAGTGTGGGTTTGCTGTGCTGGCTTTGTATGTGTTCTGAACACTAATAATACACTTGATGAGGAGACACAGCGTGTGATGTTTGATTGAATTGGCTGCCGTTCGTTCTGTCACTCTACACTGGAAAGCAAATAAATATATTTTTAAAATGTTATTCAGGTACAATTTGATTGATCTTGATAGTTAATTTCCCATGCACATTTATAACATGCGTCAACATTTGGCTTAAAGGGAGCAATATAAACTCAAAACTTCCAATGCTTTTTTATGTCCCATTGCCTCAAAGTTCAAAAACAAGACTTTCCCTGAAAGATAACCAATCGTGTTTTTTCTAAAAGTTTTCATAAGGTTTAAAAACGATTCTTCTCCTAACAATCGGCTGGTTTGATGAGACACTGAACCAACAATCTCCTGACATACTGTGTGTTTAACATGTGCCTTAGCTTCTTCACTGCAGTGTTGCCGAATGTCCCTAAAACTAGTCAGTCCGGTTTCACTCGTGCTTCATCCCAGTCAGCAGTTACATTTCTGTTCATGCCAAGACCAAATCCGTGTACAAAGAAAAAACCAAGCTTTATTGTTTTTACCACAGTAAAGAGTTTTAACTGTTGAATGCATAACAAAGTGCTTTATCTTTTGATTTGGTAGACATTTTAACTGTACAAACTGTGCTAGGTTTACACATGGAGAAGGTAAAAACAAACAAGCTTTTACTTACGACATGTGTCGCTCTTAATCTTTTTAAGACATTATAAGTCACTATAGGGGATATAATGTACGATAAAGATTGTCTTCAGCATTCATGAACTTCAGAAAATCACCTGGCTGTTCCTCTGCTGTAGTACGAACTGTTTATTTGTTGGTAGTCTGTGTATTTTTATGCAATAAAAAAACTTTTCTTTTGAAGCGAATACATTTTCAGACAAGTTTTTACACTGCAATGTCGATGTTTTGAGTGTTTAAGAGCGAGGAAGAGAAGGACATTTAAAGGAGGAGGAGAAAAGATCAGGTAAAATATGTGAAATGTTTCACAATCCTGTCTCAAATTTGCTGTAGGCAATACAGGTGATCAGTCTTCTTAAAGGCCACTCTAATTAAGTAGCAGCCATTACCGTAGTTTCAAATCTGATCCGAATATATATGCACCTTTGAGTTGCTTAAAAACAATGTGTGAGGAAGGTTGGCCAGAAATCAAGTTGCAACCTGAATGCTGATCCTGTGTAGTTGTTTATACTCAGACTCACAGGGTTGTCAAGACACACGCACACACAAATGGAGGGAAATTGTTGATCCACAGAAGTGAGTCGTAAATTATGACATGCAAACACACCCAGAGAGCCACACCCTTGGACGGGCCTGTGTGAGAATTACACTTTGCTCAGCATGTCCTGGCAGCTCAGGCTTCTCTGTGAAAGGGGGAGGAGAGATAAGTGTGGACGGGAAAGTGAGAGAGAGAAAATGACATGAGGGTGAGAAATACAGTGTGAGGCAGCAAGGAAAAGTTATTGAAAGGCTGTGGGGGGGTGAGAGAGTTACTGGTAACAAGTTGAAGGAGGAAAATATGACAATAGAGAACAAGATCGACACCAAAGTGAATACTCTACTGTTCCTCATTGCACTGTTATCGAGTCCATCTAATTTCCTTTAAGGCAGAAAACAACTAGCTATAAGGTATGAGAAACATGTTCAAGCATGCGACACATCTGGCAACCTAAAGGAAAATAATGTACTGTACACACAACAACACACAGTCCAGTTTCATCAGCTGCTCCTGGATCAGATCTACACACAACAACACACAATCCAGCTCCATCACATAGCAATCAAGCGAGCCTCCAAATGGGCGTGTCACGGAGGTGATCTCTGGGCTCATAGATCTCGGCCTCCGTTACGGGTTGTTTAGTTTTTGTTGTTGTTGAAAAGTGTTCCCCTTCCCCCATGTCTGTCGTTGATTGTGTGCACCTGGTGCCCTGTGTTGTCTCCTCCCCCCTCACCTGGGTCCTGTTGGGTTGATTGGGTTGGACATTTAGGCTCTGGGGTTTTGCTGTTAGAGAGGGAGTGTGTGTGAGATCCTGGTGGTGGCTGGTGACTGTGCGCACAGGAGCAGCAGATTGAGGCTGTCATCTCATGTGTATGATTTAATAAATGCCCACACCGGGTTGTATTTTTGGACGTTCTGCCTCTGCCTCCTTGCTTGGTCGGGCCGCTCAATTGTCAGCGTCACAATTGGTGTCAGAAGTGGGATTGACCACGTGAGGAGGTGAGAGTGATGGAGGAACTGCGGGAGATGATGAGGTCACTCCTGCAGCTTCAGGCAGCCGGTGAGCAGCAGTTCGCACGGGAAGAGGAACGGAGACTCCGGAGGTAAGACGGCAGATTGGCTGGAGGCTCAACGGGCGCTGGCTCTGCCGCTAAGGCATCAGAGATCCTGGCGGAGAACCGGAGATTGGTGCAAGAGCAGAAAGAGGAGCAGCTCCGGTTACAGAGGGAAGAAGAGAGGAAGGCAGAAGCATTGAGAACGGTTGGAAAGATGGCGGCGAACACGCAGAAGAATAACAAGCGAAGGAAACCTGGAGGAAAGGAGTCGTCGCAGCCTTTGATAATTGCCAAAACTCAGGCGGAGGAGCAGCGCCTGGAGTTGGAGAAGTTGATGCGGAACCCGGATAGGCCGGATCCCATTCCAGACCGGCCAAAGGAGTGGAACCCGCGGGCTACTCCGGAGTTCGTCCGGGATGTGATGGGTGCCGGCGCCGGTGCGGGCAGCGGGGAGTTCTACGTTTGCCGGCGCCTCCGACGCAGGGAGTACCAAGGGCGGGAATTTCTGGACAGGATGTCGGGTAAAGTGAATGAGGACATCGAGTGTCTCGATGAAGTGGAGCTGAGCAAACGGGCGGCCGGAGATGGAGCAGCGGGGCGCGGGAGGAAGCGAAAAAGACTGAGGCGCAAGATGCGGATAGCAAAGATAGAGAAGGTACGTCAGGAGAGAGAGCGCGTAAGAGAGCAGAACCAGCAGGAGCGCATGGAGAGGAAGAATCAGATCCCGAAGAGAAAGAAAGGGAAGCTTCCTTCTGACTACACGCCCCCCCCCCCTGAGGAAACCAAGCTGCACAAGGGGAAGCAGAAACCTTGTAGGGAAGCCAAGATTTCCAAGACACTGTGCTTCCAGGGGAGAGGGGTAAGGAAATGTCACGGAGGTGATCTCTGGGCTCATAGATCTCGGCCTCCGTTACGGGTTGTTTAGTTTTTTTTTGTTGAAAAGTGTTCCCCTTCCCCCATGTCTGTCGTTGATTGTGTGCACCTGGTGCCCTGTGTTGTCTCCTCCCCCCTCACCTGTGTCCTGTTGGGTTGATTGGGTTGGACATTTAGGCTCTGGGGTTTTGCTGTTAGAGAGGGAGTGTGTGTGAGATCCTGGTGGTGGCTGGTGACTGTGCGCACAGGAGCAGCAGATTGAGGCTGTATCATCTCATGTGTATGATTTAATAAATGCCCACACTGGGTTGTATTTTTGGACGTTCTGCCTCCTTGCTTGGTCGGGCCGCTCAATTGTCAGCGTCACAGGCTCAGAAGTCTTGAGGGCTACCTCGTTATCAGAGACGAGTTGAGGGCTCTACCATTAACGGTCATCTGAAGTTTGGTGATTTTTCGACCATTTACCATTGAGTTACGTTTACATCATGTTTTATGGTCCGTCCTCATCAACTGGCTCCCCATCCCCCAGATAATTCAGTACAAAATCTTCCTAATGACATACAAAGCCCTCCATAACCTGGCCCCATCCTACCTAACTGACCTCCTCCAGACACACTCCCACTCGCTCCCTCCGCTCTGCTACTGCCAACCTCCTGTCCCTCCCCACCCAGACCAACCTCAAGTCCTGGGGCGGCAGAGCCTTCTCCGTTGCTGCACCCACCCTCTGGAACTCACTACGCCAATCCATCAGAGGTTCTTCCTCCCTCACCGCATTCAAAACATCACTCAAAACCCACCTGTTCAACACTGCATTCAACCACTGACCCCCCCCCCCCCCTATTTTCTGTTTTGTTTATCTCTTTTTGTATTTTTCTTTGTTTTGTTTTTTTGTTGTTTTTTTCATTCTCGGTCAAACCGTCTTTGAGTTTCCTGAAAAGCGCTATACAAGTCTCATTTATTATTATTATTATTATTATTATTATGGCGAGTTCGTGTTTCCATAGCAACAGCACTAGGAAAAGCGCCATACAAATTAATTAATTATTATTATTTTTTAATTATTATTATTATTGCGAGTTTGTGTTTCCATGGCAACAGCAGAAGTCTAAACCAAACTATTTCAGTGACATCACTTATGACATCCTCACACACTGAAGCGATGAGATCATTGGCTTTGATGAGTGTTCCGTCATAGAACATCAAATACATCTGTGATGTCATAATGATGTCACAGGAGTCTGAAGGAAGATTGCAAGGGCATTCATGTGCATTCACTCGTCACTCTTCACTCCAGAGCTGTAAGTGGTGAGACGCATACAGACGACCTTCACAACCTTCACAGTCTTCAGACAGAACACTTCTTCCAAAGAGAAATAGATTATTCTAACTACGCACAACACAAGTCTACAGACGGTGCCATGGATAGAAGAAGCCACCAGAACAACAGGGGAAACCCGAGCCCATTCGACCATGGAGCAGAAGCAGATCGAGCTTACAAGCAGATCCACTGCGGAAATGGCCAGATAAACGGCCTGGAGGAGTATCGTGGGGCATTTCAGGAGGAGAGGACGAGATTTTGCCACAGTATGCGCAAACAAAAAGACAAGGTCAAACGTCTTGAGGAGCTCCTGAACTACAGGAACTCAGGGCTCCACAAAGAGAACAAAAGGCTGGTTGACACCATCATGGAGCATGAGGTAGAAATCTCCCGTCTGAATGAGAATATTGAAAATGCAGAATGCCAACACAAGAGGCAGATGGACCAAATTGTGGCAAGGCATGAGGCAGAGAAAGGAAATGTCTCAGACGAGAAGGACCAGGCGACATCTGACAGCGAGAACAATGATGTTCCTCTGCAGTGTGACCCAGAGATCATCAAACTGAGGATGAGGAAAGGGGAGACCATGAAAGAGCTGATAAGAAAAGGGGAAGAACTCCTTGAGTGTGTGACAATCTTGGAGGATAGAAACAGCGATCTGGAGGAGAAGATGGAAGCTGCAGAGCTTCAACACAAAAAGCAGCTGGAAGACACAGTGGCATTGTATGAGACACAGCAACAGAAGCTCTCAGACCAACACAACGAGGCCAACCTGGTGACTTTAAACCTGCTGCAGAGAAGAGAGGAACAACTCCTTCAATGCGAGGAAAAGTTCACCAATAGCCTGGCCGAAAATACTCTCACCTGGGAGAGTGAGAAGCAAGAGATGGAGATGAAATTGAAAGAGGTGGAGAAGAAGAAAAAATACCAGGCCAGTAGAAACAAGACCTTGCAGACGGAATTCCTACAGATGGAGGACCAGTTGAAAAGGCAAGAGGAAATGTTCTCCAAAGACCTGGCCGATAAGAGTCACACCTGGGAGACTGAGAAGCAACAGATGGAGACAACACTAAATGAGGTGACTCAGGAAAAGAACAACATGACCAAGGAAACCCTGACCTTGGAGTCTGAGTTCAAACAGGTGGAAGCTAAATTAAAGCAGGTGGAAAAGGAGAAAGATCGCCTGGCCGAGAATAACCTGAGCTGTGAGACGGACATCAAACAGCTGAAAGAACAGATGAGAGAGCAGGAGGAGAAGTTCTCCAAAGACCTGGCTGAAAAACAGCTGAACTGGGAGCAGTTTGTCCAACGCAAGGAGACGGATGTCAAGCAGTTGGAAAACCAATTGGAAGATCAGAAGAAGAAGTTCTCCAAAGACTTGGCCCAGAACCAGGAGAGCTGGGAGTCCAGGGTTCATTTGGTGGAGACCAAATTAAAGGAGGTAACTCAGGAAAAGGACGACCTGGTCAAGAAACACCAGAGCATGGAGACCAAGCTTCACCTGATGGAGACACAACTGAAACAGGTGGAGGAGCAGAGGGACGACCTGGCTGAGAGAAGACTGAGCTGGGCAACGACTGAGAAAAAGATGGAGGAGGAAAATAAACTTCTGGAAGACCTCTGTCTTCACATGAAGAATAAGAGCAGAGGTTTCTTCTCTCGCAGGAGGGGGGAGACTGAGGATAGAGACGTTGCCTTGCAGAAAATGATAAGCAAGATGCAAGAGAAGGAGATGAGGAAGAAAGCCAAAGACGCAAGAAACACCTCCTCAGAGAAGATGGAGGAAGCTTCTGGTGATTCAGCTCCAGCTGGACAACAGTAACTCCCTCCCTCCATTTCCCTCACCTCCTTCCTCCTACCTCACCCCCTCCCTCCTTCACTTTTTGCTCAGATAGGGTTTTCTCCTGGAGCTCAGGTTTTCCAGAAATCCATATTAATAAAGAATCAAAAAAACACCACTAAGTCCCTCCTCCATTTACCTCACCTCACTCCACCCTCCAAAGCGGCTTTGAGTTCAAGAAAAGCACTATATAAATATAATGTATTGTTGTATCTTCCCCTTTATACGGTGGCCCTGAAGTGCAAGTCAAAACGACATTTCACAAAACACTACAGTATTTCAGAAAACACTTCAACATTTCAGAAAACGCCACAGCATTTCACATTTTACGAAAAGGGTATTATTTTAGGGAGAACACTTCTTGTTTGTGATTGGACAGAGCCAGCCAGAGAAGCACTGCTGTGATTGGTTGTTGTTGCTGCCAGTCAAGAAATTACGCTTCGTGATTGGTCCGCACCCGGCCGACAGCACCACGTCTTTCCTGTTTGGTACTGTTCAGCTGTTTCTTCACACATTTTAAACTGAGTTGGAAAGAATGGAAGAAGAGATGGAAATCTTAAGGGAATATTTTAACGAAGGGTATACATACGATGTTATCCTCGACATGCTGTCAACCCATCACGACATCAACATGTCCCTTAGAACCAGGGGTGTAGTGCAGCTGTGACTACCCGATTTGCATCTCTGCCCGATTTGCATTGCGCAAGCGCGAAATGGACTGCCGTATTGGACAGCTACATACGGCAACCCAAATAGGACACTCGACGTCTAGACGGCTGCTCGATTTGCATTGCGTGTGCGCGAGTCATAAACGTCTCAAATATCTATACAAAGATCTTTTATGTAATTGTATTTAATTTGAAATAAAAATGAAAGACATTAACAGTTAATGTAATTATATATGAATTATTAATGCAATACACTTTTGCATACATTCATAGTGCTCGATTATGGCAAAAATCATAATCACGATTATTTTTGGTCAATATTGATATCACGATTATTAAATACGATTATTCATTGTCTTTGAAAACATCCATTTATTGAACTTTAAAATGTTGTAAAATAATAATTTGAACAGTATGTTTTTAACAATTGAATACCCTGAACTTTAAGTTTAATTCAACTGAAAAACCAATAAAAAAATAAAATCATACATTTATATCTACATTTGAATAAATAATATCAAAATAATAAATACCAATAAAGAAGATAAACAAATATGTTGTTGCGCACTTCCACAACCTACTAAACATATATAAATATGATAACTAATGTCACTCACAACCTGTAATGTTTAATTATACTGCTACACGCAGTCCGGCTTGACGAGTTAGTAAACGTTGACTGTACGCGAGAGACCGGAGAATAAAGACACGGCAACTAAAGCTTCCCTTGTAACGTGTTTATATGGACTTATTAAACAGACTGCAACTGCAAGTCACAACACAACCTAATCGAGAGGGCTTTTAGGGAGGGAGGTGGCAGCGCACGCGCGGGCAGGATGTATAATGCAAGACAAATTGAGAGCATCATTGCGAAAGGGAATGCAGCAAAATAATCGTTTTTTTCTCGAATAAATTGTTTTCATAATCGTTGCAAGCCAAAATCGTAATCGAGATTAAAATACCATTAATTGCACAGCCCTAATTCACAGTAAATATTTCTTCAGTATGATAGCTGTCTAACAGAAGAAACATCTATTTCTCACTTATTCTGAGAATGTACTTAACCCAATAAAAGGATTTGTTAAATAATAGTGAAGTCACGTTGTAATAACAATAACTCATCTCTCTCGTTCAGATTAATGTTGTCGGATTTTTTTTCTGCTTTGCGAAACAAATGTCCTATTTGAGTTGCCGTATGTAGCTGTCCAATATGGCGGACCATCTCGCGCGTGCGCAATGCAAATCGGGCAGAGATGCAAATCGGGTAGTCACAGCTGCACTACACCCCTGGTTCTAAGGGACATGTTGATGTCGTGATGGGTTGACAGCATGTCGAGGATAACATCGTATGTATACCCTTCGTTAAAATATTCCCTTAAGATTTCCATCTCTTTTTCCATTCTTTCCAACTTAGTTTAAAATGTGTGAAGAAACAGCTGAACAGTACCAAACAGGAAATACGTGGTGCTGTCGGCCGGGTGCGGACCAATCATGAAGCGTCCTTTCTTGACTGGCAGCAACAACAACCAATCATAGCAGTGCTTCTCTTGTCTCTGTCCAATCACAAACAAGAAGTGTTCTGCCTAAAGGAATACCCTTTCCGTAAAATGTGAAATGTTGAAGTGTTTTGTGAAATGCTTTAGCGGCGTTTTGTGAAATGCTGTAGTGTTTTTTGAAATGTCGTTGTGTTATATGAAATGTTGAAGTGTTTTGTGAAATGCTGTAGTGTTTTGTGAAATGTTGTTTTGACTTGCACTTCAGGCCACCGTACCCTCACTCCACCCCAAACTCCATCATCCATAACGCCCCCCCTTCCACTTTTGGGTTTTCTCCTGGAGCTCAGATTCGCCCGCAACAAATGTTCCTAATACAATTAGGATTACAATTAGGATTAGAAAGATCTGATTTAAAAATAAAATACAAATTCAAATCTATCTTTTTACGCGTGTGCCTCACTGTGTAAATACAGTATTATTATTTATCACATTTTGGTTACTAAAGTACTTCTACTTATTCATTGTATGTTTAATCAACACTTTCATAAATAAAACAACCTATGGTATGAAATATAAAATTGTGTTTTTATATTTGTCTCACTGTACACATTCAATTCCATATGTATGTATATATTTTTTTAACTGTGTTCATACAAGCTGGTGAAATATTCTGGGACTTTAATACTCCAAATTTTGAGGTGAAGCGGAAAATGTAATTGTATTGACTGAAACATGGTGTCACTTTTAAAATAAAAACAGAAAATGTATATATGCCTTATGTGATGTGATTTTAATTCAACAACACAAACATTTAAAACCTCACTTAAGAAAAATCAAAAGTAATTATTATCTGCAAAACTTTGTAGGAACATTTCTCAACCCATTTATGGACACAAGTTAATCAAAACTCCCATTTAAAATCACCTAATTATGGTATGGATAGGGGTTAAGGTTAGGGTTAGTACAAATTGTACAGCATATCTAAAAATAAGTCACTAAAGCTGTCAGAAAATGTAACTGAGTAAAAAGTAAAATATTTTCCTGTGAGATTAAGTGATTTTGAAAAGTATAAAGATGCATAAAATGGAAATCTTTCTTTTCTTTTATACTTAAGTATATCAGTTAGGGAACACTGGAATTTATGATATTATAATTTATAGCCAAGGCTCTAGATTAAAAAGTGTTTATAATACAATACATTATTGTATGCTGTAACGCCTGTGGGATTGTGGGTTTAATCTCTGAGTTTCTACATTACGGCTACACAGTTTATCATAGACAATTAGGACTATTTCTGATTTCCATAAACTCTTTGGGGGACATGCCATACACGTTACATAACTTGGACTTCATCCTGATTGACACCAAACGTAAAGACTTCGTAAAATCCCTAGGAGGAGTTTGTTGTTAAAGTACGGTGCACTAATCTGTCCCCAGAGTCAGAACTAAACATGGAGAAGTTCAGTTATTATGCTCCAAATATCTGGAACAAACTCCCAGAAACCTGCAGGTCCGCTGCAACTCTGACTACTTTTAAATCCAGCCTGAAGACTTTTCTTTTTGCCGCTGCTTATAATTGAACTATTCATCTCTTACACTGCACTGTAACTTTTATTCATGTATTTTATATCTGTGTTATTCTATATTAGCTCGTTAATGTTTTTGGAGAGCACTTTGAATTGCCTTGTGTTGAAAGGTGCTATATAAATAAACTTGCCTTGCTCGAAAAACACTCCACACAACATGTCACAGTCCACGAAAAATACTAATATTATGGGAAATTAAAAAAATTACTTTAGTTAATAATACACAAGTATCTTCAATGGTAAAAATGTATTCAAAATACATTTTCTCACATCTAGTATAGACACTTTTTGAGTTTGCATCTTCATGGTTATATGCACTTATTGTTATTTAAATGGGTAAAAGCATCTGCAAAATGAAATGGGAAAATATTTACCATTCTGTGAGAGAGTATGTAGGCATCTGCACACCTGCATCGAGTTCTGAACAACAAAAAAACAGAATTTTTAATCATACATTGTTGTGAATTTACCTTCAAACTCACCTCTACAGTCGATAGATAGATAGATAGTTAGGTAGGTACTTTATTAATCCCAAATTGGGAAATTATTTTGTTGCAGGACCAGTGTGCTCAACATTAAAATACAAATACTTAAAACCTGTTAAGCCCCAAGATCCCCGCCGACGGGTACTTTTTTTTTCTCACGACACTGTGTCTCAGGCAGTGGCGTTTTCTCCCGGAGGCCAAGGGAAGCCAGGCTTCCCCTGTTTTTTCGGATTGTAGTTATAATTTAAATAAATAAATAAAAACACTTTGTTTTGTTTCGATAATTCTCCTTTGCTGTGTGTTGCTGCCGGCCCGGCTCTCCCTCATTCTCATTGAGTATTTTACAAAGAGTGAAACAAACAGCGCCCCTCTAGATGTTATGGTGAAACAGTAGATTGCACTCACTGTTGCGAGAGGAGGCCAGCCGAATCTAGCTTCCCTTGGTGAAAAAAAATGGAGGGATTGACCAATCAGATGAGGCCCACGTGATGCCCCTGCCAACCTGTGATTGGTCAGGGCCATGCCAAGGGAAGCGAGCCGCCTCTTGCTTCCCTTCAGAGGCGGCTGGCGGCTGGCGATTTGATTGGACACTGCCATCCAATCAAATCACATCAACATCAGTTTTAATACTGTAACTGTCATCACCGCCGTTAGAAATTATCAAGCAAATGAAGCATTATGGAGGGTGGAGATTTGGCGTACTTAATCAAACATAACTTTACTAAACTTCCGCTACAGCAGCAACTA